CAACTCCCAGAATTCCCCAGCCAGCATGGCTGGCTGGGGAATTCTGGGAGATGAAGTCCACACATCTCCAAGTGGTCAAGGTTGAAGAACCCTGTTCTAGAAGATGGTTCCCATAGAAATTGTCTGTTCTTCCTGGAAATTTACCTATGAGGGGCAGAATATTAGCAGACATGATATAGAGACGTAGAGCTGTGTTTTTCAACCTCGGCCCCTTTAAGACACGTAGACTTCAACTGAATTCCCAGCTAGGGAATTCTGGGAGTTGAATTCCAACCAGGGAATTCTGGGAGTTGAAGTCCACACATCTTCAGGTTGCTGAGGTTGAGAAACGCTGGCTTAGGGTATATCTGAATCTCGTCAGGGTCTTGCCAAGCTTTACCTGCCCTTCCTGGAGAGAGACTCCCCCCAGGGCAAGTGGCTATTTTCACACCATGGACTTAGCTAAATCAGCCTAGCTGCTGCATTCATGCGATGGCACGCCGAGGGTCGGATAGGTTGTGACGGAATAAAAATTAGAGCTATCAATCAATGCATATTCCGAGCTTGGTTATTCTTCAGCCAGGTTAGGTTTTGGTGAGCAAGCGTTCCATGTGAACCAAGCCTGTGGGGTTCAATGAGGGTTGTGATGAATGCCCCCTCCTCCTCTATTTAGCCACGGAGTGAAAGACAACAATTGTGCAAAACGAGGTATACACAGGAGACACATTTTAAAAAATCAGGAAATAATACTGTACTGGTTTGATGGCACTGTCGTGACCACCATCTTGACTTTTTTGACCAGGACTCCCTGAGAATCGGGGGGAAGAGAGGGTTTCTTACCAAATAGTAAATCGAGAGGACTCCTTCTCCGGGCTCAATCAGCCCATCCTTCAGAAGAACCCGTAGCGTGATTCCCCGGCGGGTCAGGATGCAACAGCCGCGCCCCCCCGGGATGGATTTCCCCACGCTGTCCTGCTCAGGGTCCTCCAGGCTGGTCTCCAGCTCCTCCTCGTCTTCTTCCAGACACTCATCCCCAGCGAGGGATTCCGCGTCCATCACTAAGGAAGCAAACACGAGACGGAATCAAAGGGGAAGATCTCGGAGCATCTTCGCCGCATCGCCCTGCTTTCCGTTGACCGTCAGGAAATGGGAAAGGCTCGTCGATCCAAACTGTGAAATGAAATCTCGGGTGCCAAGGGCAGCCGCTTGGCTTGAACTCCTTTCTGAAAACCTCGAGGTTCTAGTCCTCATGGACGGAACAGTCCATTTAGGAACCCAGGGCCGATTGTTTAGAATCTCTGAAGGTGGCCCAGCGCTTGAAGACAGATTGTCAGGCCTGGGGAGGTTCCCCCCCTTCCTTTTCTGTTAAGGGCAAAGGTTGTGGAGGGCCCCTTTAAATGTTCATTATTGAAGGGTGTGGAGCAGTGTTTCTCAGC